TCCATTTGTGAGATATATATATATACACATATTCTATATTATTTTAAAAGGGAGTTTATGCCCAAGTTCTACTATATAATAAATAATATTGAAGAAACTTCCTTTTAAAAGTCCCACAAGTATAATATATAATATTCAAGATTAGGAAAAGTCCCAATTTTGAATATTATATATTATATTTGGGCCTAAGCTCTCTTTTATAATATAGTAGAATTATTCGGTAAATAAATTACATACTCATTCATTACAAAGTGAGGTTTTAGGGTGTTGGAGAAGAGGAGTTGTGAAGAGTTGAAGTATCAGTTTCGTAATGGGATACGTGCAAGAAGCCAGAGAAAATCACGTCAAAAAGAAGGTCGAAGAAGGTATATTCTCCAAACCCTAGATGTCAATTCCTCAGTTTCACCATTAAAATTAGGAAAATTGTTCACTCATCTTCATTCTGTACTTGCTTTGAAACACAATTTACTTCTCATTGAACTAATTAAGTGCCTCTTTGGATTGATGCTTAGTGATTTTAAGACAAAATAGCTTTTAAACACTTTTTTTTTATAGTATTTGGGTACAACTGCCTGAGCTTTGACCTACATTAATATTAGAAGTATTGCAACTTATAGTATTTTTTTGTATAGTTTTCGAAAATCTGTACGAAATTAGTCAAATTGACTCTCGTGAAGTGAAATGTGACAAGTAAGAGTGAAGGGAGGGAGGACATTTTATTTCTTTATCCAAGGGAAAAGAAAGTTTTTACAATTTCCCATTCATTTCTGAGGTATTAATCATTGTTGGGTAGTTGGTTGAAAGATGATTAACTTTACTATTGGGAGGAAGAAACTGTGATTTTAGACAAATGAAGATTTAACAAGATAAGATGTTTCATATTAGATTAGCTCAATGATGGTGTAAGAAAAAGTGCTGGGAAAATAATGGTTCTTCTTACAAGATGGTTCGATTATCAAATTTTCATGTCCTATTTATTGGACTCTTAAGGAGGATAGATGATGTCTTCACTTCTAAGGGTTTGACTGTATTGGATATGGAAATTCTATTTATGATGTTGCCTACAATATGTTATTAGCATTCAGCAAGGGCTCACTAAAGAAAATAAAACAAAATGGCATTCAATCTCATCCTTTATCCTCTATTGTAGTGCTAATTGAATGTATTTTTGGGAAAATCTAGTACAATTTGAATTTTCCCTACTCTAAGAGTATGTTTCTCAACAATTGTTTCCTCTATAAAGTTCAAGGAATTTTTTGCGTTAAGAAGCTCATCATCCATTTTGCTTTAGGATTCTTTTTCTCTTATCTGGTTTTCCAGAATGGAGATGGACCATGGGCTTAGTTTAGGCGACTGGAAAATTATGTGGTATATTCCGTTGCCATTTTTGTTTTGGCAGTTGAAATGTAAAATCAAGGGCTGAATTTAGTAGGTGGATGGGAATTATGTGGTATAGTCAGTTGGTTTTTTCGTTTTTGATGTCTAAATGGCAATCAAGGGGTGTATTCCACGTGACACATTCGGAGACAAGAACAAATAGGAGTGTGTGATTGTTTCTGAGGCTGAAAGTTTTTAAGTAACTAGTATATTGAAACGAAAAAAAGAAGGAACCTCACACCAGCTAGGCAGTACAAGAATCATCAATCTTCCTAAACAAGAAACAAAAAGGAGGAGGATATCTATGATGATCCTAAACTTGCAAGTAGTCAATGAAGTCTAACATACTATCTACCTCCTTTACATCCTGTTGATTACACCAAAAAACTAAAAGCAACAGACATCTGTATGTTAAGTAGATATTTCTTTCCTTCCATATACACCTGCACAAGCAGGCAGGATGGTATACCAAACCTTCTTAAGAGTTTGCTAACAGTAGTCATCTTTAAGAGATTAAAAAAGACAGCCTGCATCTGACCAGCCATTGGACATTGCAAAAAGAGATGACTTGATAAGAATCGGGTTACCTGAATAAACAAGAAACTAATGAGGAAGCGAAATTATAAAAGATTAAAGACAGTAATTGACAGATATGCGAAATTCGAGAATAAAATCCCTAAATTTCAAGGGAAGTGCTAAGAACCCTAATTGATCTTAGTATTCAAAATTAGCTGATTAAAACTAATTATGATACTAATAATGTCAATTCAAGAACTTAGATCAAAAGTGATCTAGACCCGACTACAATTAGTATAAGAATAATTACCTTTAGTAATTTACGAATAAGAAGCAAATATATCAAGTTAAAGAATTAATTTTATCTCTTAAGAATCATTTTTATAAGGTTGTAAGATAAATCCCAAGTAGCCGCACCCAAGGCCCAAGGGTGTAGCCTAATGAAGTGGTTGAGAACCCTGAGGTCTCAGGTTCAAGACTCGGTGGTGACAAAAAACACTAGGTGATTCTTCTCATTTGTCTTAGCCTTGGTGGATACATGTACTGTTGTTGATAGGAGGTGACATGTATTTCGTGAAATTAGTTGAGGTGCACGAAAGCTGGTCTGTGACACCATGGTAAAAAAAAAAATTCAAGTAGCCACACAAAAAGGTGTAAAGGAGAGAAACTCTCAATTAGTAATAGTATTGTCCAAGGTGAAAAACTATCAGAAATAGAATGGGATTAGAATCTACTTTTATGGAAATAATAAATAAAATCTAAGTAGGAAACTTTAAACTAGGAAAACATATAAAAATAACACCAAAATTCTTCCCTAAGGAAATGAGAAAAAGTTTCCAGCTTTGACCAAAATATGTGGGCCCTTCCCAAGTCATTTGCACATGACTTTTTCCTCCTTTTGGGTGAGGACTTTAAGCTTCTTTTTTGGGTAGAAATTCAACCTCATTTGGGCCTCAATCTTCTTTCATTTAGACTTGGACTTGAACCATAAAATATGTGTAGCACATAATCCATTCTTCTCCACAATTCTTGGGCTTTTCTTCCATGATAATCATCTTCTTGATTTCCCATTGAAGCCCAACAATCTTGGCTTGTAACTCCTTATCTTGAGACCTGGATGATTGTCTTCTTAGGGCTTCTAGAGCATTATCCTTGTTTATGGGGCTACATCCCCTCTTCTTGAAAATAATTCCTCCTCGAATTTGACCCTACATCAAACAAGGACAAGTTGGCAACATGAAAGTAGCACTTACTTAATACTCATCGGGCATATTCAATTTGTAAGCATTGTCTCCAATTCGCTCGAGAACTTTTAAGGGTCCATCACCTCTAGGATGCAATTTAGACTTCCTTTTGGAAGGAAACTGTTCTTTGCGCATGTGAATCCAAATTAAGTCCCCAAACTAAATATGACTTGTTTTCGCCCTTTGTTTCTCCTCAAGGAAACTTGTTTATTCTCAAAGACGGGCACTGAAAGACGGAATAAACAAGTTGCCTTGAGGAGAAACAAAGGGCGAAAACGGGTAATTTTTTAGCCTGGGGACTTAGTTTGGATTCACATGCACAAACTACGGTTTCCTTCCAAAAGGAAGTCTAAATTGCATCCTAGAGGCAATGGACCCTTCAAAGTTCTCAACTGAATGGGAGACAATGCTTACAAATTGAATCTGCTCGATGAGTATTAAGTAAGTGCTACTTTCATGTTGCTGACTTGTCCTTGTTTGATGTAGGGTTAAATTCGAGGACAAATTCTTTTCAAGAAGAGGGGGATGTAGCTCAATGGACAAGGATGATGCTATAGAAGCCCATAAGAAGACAATCATCAAGGTCTCAAGAGACGGAGTTGCAAGCCAAGATTGTTGGGCTTCAATGGGAAATCAAGAAGATGCTTATCATGGAAGAAAAGCCCATTCTTGCTACACATATTTTATGGTCCAAGTCATGAAAGAATATTGGGGCCCACATGAGGTTGAATTTCTGCCCAAAAAGGAGCTTAAAATCCTCACCCAAATGCTTTCCCAGTTTAAAGTTTTCTAGTTAGATTTTATTTATTATTTCCATAAAAGTAAATTCTAATCCATTCTATTTGGGATAGTTTTTTCCCTATATATAGGGGTAGATTTTATTATTTTTGTTAGACAACATTATTATTAGGGAAAAAGGACGAATATACCCCCGAACTTTCGTAAATGGTATGTGTATATCCCTCGTTATACTTTTAGGACACCAATATGCTTACCGTCCAAATTTTGGAGCATATATATCCTTTAAACTAACGGTGATACACGTGTCTCAATCTTAACCGTCGATTTAATATTTGTTAAATTTCCTACCCAAAATTAAAAGACCCACCCAAATTAATTTAAAAACCCAACCAAATACATAATACCCACCCAAAAATCCCCAAATCGATTCTCTTAATTTCAGATGGTACTCCAACCCCAAAAACCCTTCTCTTTCTCATTTACCTCTTCTCCCCAAACAAATTTCAGACAAATCTAACCCTAATACTAAACCAAATCCTAATCCTAGTATCAGTCCTTGTGTCAATCCTACGATGGCCTTCTTCTCTACACGAAAAGAGAAAGATTATAATAGCCATTTCAGTCGTTGTTGGCCTTAAACCGTCATATGCAAAATATGTAGTGGACAAAAGAGTTAAGGTTTAATGGTCGTCGGATAAAATCTAATACAAAGGTTGTGTGAAGTCTTTCAACAGTGCTTCTGGTGAGATTTGATCATTTATAATGATGGTAATGAGTAAATGATTGATTTAGTTAAAGAAAAGATTAAATGGGTCAAGAAACATGTGAGGAAGTTGAGGAGAAAATGGAGGATGATTCTGGGGATGAAGATGGTTGGATGGGTCTTCCTCTCATGAAGTTGATGAGAAATTGGAGGATTTAGTGTTGAGGATGAAGATCGGGGGGAAAGATGATGTTAAACAAGTGTTTAAGTTGCTTAATTTGAAATTAAGTGAATTAATTTGGGAGATTTGGGTTAATATTTTTTGGTTGTGGGTATTATGTATTTGGGGGGGTTTTTAGATTAATTCGGGTGGATTTTTCAATTTTGGGTAGAAGTTTAACAAATATCGGGTCGACCGTTAAGATTGAGACACGTGTATCACCGTTAGTATAAAGGATATGTATGTTCCAAAATTTGGACGGTAAGGATACTAGTGTCCTAAAAGTATAACGAAGGGTATACACATACCATTTATGAAAGTTCGGGGGTACATTTGTCCTTTTTCCCTTATTATTAATTGAGAGTTTCTCTTCTTTACACCTTTGTGTGTGACTACTTTGAGATTTATCTTACAACCTTATATGAACGATTAGGAAGAGTTAAGATTAAATCTTTAACTTGATATCTCTGGTTCTTATTTGTAAATTAAACAAGGTAATTTATCTTATACTAATTGTTGTCTTTAATTTCTCCGAAATAGGGGTCTAGATCACTTTTGATCTTAGCTCTTGAATTGACTCTATTAGTATCATAATTAGTTTTAATCTGCTAATTTTGAATACTAAGATCAATTAGGGTTCTTAGCACTACTCTTGAAATTTAGGATGTTATTCTCGAATTTCACATATCTTTCAATTTATGTCTTTATAATTTTGCTTCCGCATTAGTTTCTTGTTTATTCAAGTAACCAGGTTCTTATTATGACTATTGCACTCCACCTCACTATTACACAAGAAGACCAAATGAAAAGACCTCCCATCTTTATTCCCCTTCCATAAATTTTTTTCTCCTTATTGTATCTAGCTTCTTTCACACTTGCAGGCATTGGAAATAGAGACATGAGATAAGTGGGTAGCAATCGAGGACACTATTAATGATAATAAGTCTACCTCCCAAGGATAGATGTTTTTCTTTAAAAGCTTTTTGATGAATTTTACATTTCAACATATATATATATGGTGTGGCCTCTTCATTGTGCCTTTTCCTGTCTCATAGTCTCATGTAAGAGTATTTACTCAGACTTGAGGAAAAGTTCATTTCATGCTTTTGTGGAACAGTCCATGTGGATTTGGCTTTGTTGTGTCTGACTGTCTGTTCTCTTCCTTACAAAGTCACTTATGTTTACGTTGTGCAAGTCTTTGTGATCAGTGATCACATATGCTATCTGACATATGTGAATATCTATCATGAAACTTTGATAAATATCTGTTATGCTTTACTTGTTTCATCAGTTTTTCTTTCAACTTAAGCTTTTTTATGTATCAAATATTTCAGCTCTGCGCAGTAAAATGAAGCAGAAAGCGCTCAAACAATGTGATCGATATACTACAAAATACGCTGAGTGTGCCTCAGGAAGAACAATATCTGTTGTTTGGCAGTGTCGTAAACAAGCCAAGGAATTAAATGAGTGTCTTCATCAGTAGTAAGTCCCTTATCTTTGATTTAACTTGAGAGTTCTCTGGACTTGCTTGTCAGTAAAAAGTTTCTTTATCCTTGAGGTTACCATGGTAATTTTGTTCTTATACATTCTTGGTTATTTACTCACAAAAAAGGATACTTTTGTTATTTTTCTTTTGATTGCTGAAAGTAGACAAAACAAATGATAAGAAAAGCAATGTAGGCTACAAAGAAACTGTGGGGGCGAAATGAGGACTGCAGTTTGGGGATGCTTTTGTTATTTTACAGGCTTACATGCAGTTGTTTTGCAAAACTCTTCTCATTCACAGCTCCTGTTACAACGAGTAAGATGGGAAGTTACTACTGCTGAGTTTTCTTGAACAATTTTACCACGGAATAAAGTATGATCTGGAGAAGTGCCATGCCGTCCTCCTGCTACCTAATTTCTGACGCCTTCCACCTTCAAGTATTTATGTGTCAAGTTCCCACTATTTATTATCCTTTTCTCTTCCTTTGCCTTATCATCTTCTGTACTCACTCCACCCCCAAATTCTTTCTCCTATTCCACTTCCACCTCTCCCTCCTCCACAAAATCCTCCACCTCTTCCTCTTTCCACCAAACTTTCCACCTAGCAGCAGGAGCTCCACTCATCCTCATCCTCCTTTACCTTCTGCCTTGCCCTTACTCTGTCTTTTCTTCTCCTTTACCAGTTGGCCACTACCCTTCTCAACGCCGCCCGTACCATCCTCCTTCTCCTCTCCCCTCTTGCTCTTTCTCTACTTCTTCATTCTCAATTTCTCAATCACATCACCACCTCTCCCTCCTCCTTCCCACCCATTTCCTCTTATGCGAGCCACTAAGGCTACTCCCTCTTCTCCTTTCCTATTTCTATACCTTTTTTCTACAATTGGGGGAATTTTGTTACGTGTTAAAGTAGATAGATGGAAACTTGCCACAAATAATTGAAAGGGAACTACAAATCAATTACTTGGAGGGGCATTAAGAATACTTTGGCACTCGATCCTCTTAACAAAAGATTCTAATTAATAGTACAAGCTACGGCTGTAAATGCATTGAAAATCGGTGATCTCTTGTTTGTTCTTGCTTAGTTTGACTTTAAGAAGTGTCATAAAAGGTGCCTTTCTAACAACATGTAGGTATCAGAAGGTGGTATCTGTTGAACTTACACCCAATACAGCCAACTCCTTGCAAAAATGAATTTTAAACTTATTGCTGATGAGCCCAATTATCTGGTTTGGTGGCTCCGTATTTTACCGACCCTTAATGTGTGGTTCAATTATTGATTCTCACACTCTAGTGAGAAATTCTCTGAACTAGTCCTCCAGAGAAACTGGCTAAACTGCAAGTTTCAAATACTCAAGGTAGTAGAAAGTAAACAAATATATGGATGATGTCAGCTGTATATTAATTTACAGTTGGTGACTGGTGAACTGTCGATCCTAAATATTTTTTGGTTGTTGAGGTTGTAGTGGTTATCATATTTTACTTTGGTATCTAGTTATGGTCTTAGTTGGTCCAGGAAATTTCTGTCAGATGAGCTGTTACACTGCAAGTAAGTTATTATTCCTTATTTGCTAGCAAAGGTGAAATTTGTCAAGTCCTTATTTTTATGATCTTTTGATCATATACAATGTGTTTTGATGTATAAATATCATCCATAACATAAAAACAGGGGAGGATTCAGGGTGTTGGGTGAAGGTTCACAGAATCCAGTAACTTCTGCACAGATCCTATATTTGTTTTGAGAAATTCAGTAAATATATAATAACTAGGAATTGGGAACCCATAAACAAAGTGTGCTGTTGAATCAGTGGTAGAAACGGAACCTTTTAAGCTCAACTACCCTCTTGATTGGGGTTTGAATCCCCTTGGTCACCTGTAGGCTTTTATTTTGCCTCCCTTTTGTTTTTCTTTGTAATTTGAGATGGATGGGAACCCATAAATTTTCAAATCCTGGATCGCCTTTGCATAAAAGGGATATGGGTTGAGCAATTACAGTCCCTTCTTCTCATAGAAAAGGTTATGCATCCAGGGGGATAAAATTGCCCAGTGCAAATTCTGCTTTTCCGCACCAAACTTAGATATGTTTAGTCCATCTAATTCCACCACTTTAGACACGAACGAAATGTAGGATAAATGAGTTCGGAGACTGTAACCTGATTCTTCCTTTGTTGTACCTGTGAACAAAATAGCCACTTTTGATTGAAATTTCTAGTACTTTAAATCTTATGACATCCTCTAAAGCTGCATTGTTTTTCTCTGTCCTTTCGTGTAGCACAAATGACTCTGTTTTGGAAGAAATGAAGAAAGCGTACATGCTCCAACAGAATGAACAAGGATCAGTTAGAGTTTGAGTATGCCTTTCATGATTCTTCGAGTTAAGTCGTCTCCACATCGTCTGCAGTTCAGAAGGCCTTCACTTTCTTATCAGAATTTGGGTGTGATTTGTGAACGAACAGTATGTATTTGGGTTGTTTGTGGTGGAACTCACAGAAAATTGAATAAATTTGTGGTTTCATAAGTTATAAATGCTACACTAGTCACTAATTTTCAAATTGGGCGTGAACTTTTTTTGTTTTCCTTCTTATTTCAGTTATGCAAGTCATTTTGAGATGAGTTCATTTCTTTTCTTCTAGTCTGTTGGTACTCTATATAGTGTTATTGGAGGTGAAGGGTATCTTGTGGAATTAGTTGTGGCACGGGTAATTTGATCCGGACATCACATAAATAAAGAAAAGGAAAAAGGACGTAGTTGTCAATAGATAACATAATTCAATTATGACAATTTAGTTTCCAAATAAATAAATAAAATAAATGTGTGAAATCAGTTTTCATTAGCTCTTCAATTACTTGTGAGATAAGTCTTCTTTTCACTAGACAGTCAAGAATCTTGTGACAATTAGTTTTCCAAACAATCTAAACAAATATTATAATTTGCGCAATCAATTAGGAGCTCTAATTTTAAATCAGACCGCAAGGGGGAAGATCTAACGGAGAGAAACCCATTTTTGTGTGTGTTGGTATGTATAAACCGGAACCAAATGTAATTGAACTGAATTATCACAAAATTAATTCCTAAGAGTGAACTTGAAAAACACACATTATATTGGTGAAAGTTAATATTCATAAACAATTCTAACTATCCAATTAAAGCTTCATTGGCTAAAGTCCATATTTAACTTGAGTCAATTTTGCCATTATAATTTTTGTCACAAGTATTTGTTCACAAAAAAGAATTGTTTAAACAAATATATCAATCGATTTCTATAAAGAAAATGTATTTGTATGGAGCTTAATATGTACATATATATACGTCGAACATCAAATTCAAATTTGAAATGCCTATCTTCGGATTTCAACTTGGTATGAAGGGTGTTGAAATATCATCTACTTTATCCTCTTTTGTCATCATGTCATGTCATGTGTCTTCTAACCTTTTTATCTTTTATCTTTTTGTTCGCTTGCTTTGTGTTTACGTGTTATCCTTTTATCTTGCCTGTTGCTTCATATCTATATATGCATGTATGTTACAATGCTAAAAATATATTTTTGATCTAAACAATCAAAACATTTTATAATTTTACTTTGGTTATAAATTACTTTATCATGTTTGCTACATAATCCGATAGAGTAAAGATTCTTTACACTAATCAATTCGTTTAGTACTCTTAACATTAGATTGTAAATTATAGTTTGCTTGTTAATTCCGGGCGGACCGTTTTAAAATCTTAAACCGGCCGGCCCGGTCGAGTTATTTAGCTAATAAGAACCCTTCCACTTCCACAAAGCCCTTAAACCCTCTCAGTTCAAAAGCTTGTTCGTTTTCTCTGTAAACTCTCCATTATCGATCTGGGATCTGGTGTAGCTTCCATTTCTTTTGGCGGAGATGTCTGTTAAGGTTCTGAATCCAAATGCAGAGGTGCTCAACAAATCTGCGGCGCTTCACATGAACATCAACGCCGCCAAGGGTTTACAGGATGTTCTCAAGACTAATCTCGGTCCTAAAGGAACCATCAAGATGTAAGTTTTACTAATTGATGGTTATACTTTGTTTGGAAGTCTTCGATTCTAAAGTTACAAACAATTGACAGGCTTGTTGGTGGTGCTGGTGACATTAAGCTTACTAAGGATGGGAATACGTTGTTGAAAGAGATGGTCAGTTCTTTCTTTGCTCAACAGTTATACTATTATTTTCCTCTTATGATGTAGGTATATGCTGCAAAATGACGAAAATGATGCATACATTAGGGGTGCAAAATGAGTATAAGTCTTAAAATTCATGAGTTGTAATATATGGTCTTGAGAATTACTTACCTGCTAGCTAGTGATAGGACCAAGGTGCATTTTTTCCACATAGTATAGCTACTAAACTTAATTATGGTGTTTGGATACTCAATGTTGGGTTACCCGTGTTAACTCGAAGCTCCACATGTCTAGTACCTGACATGCGAGGACAGTTAGAAGTCTGCATCGGTCAAGTGTATGAGCTTTTGTATCCTTATATAATTGTCAGAAATTCTCACCATTTTAGCTAACTTTAGTGGTCGGCTTAGTCCTATAGTACCTTTTCCCAATAAGAACTCTACCCATTTTATCTATTTTATTTCTGGTTTCGTGTATGTTGCTTCTTCGATTTTGCCTTTTGTTATCAAACATGTTGGGTTGATGTTGCTAGTGGAATCAGATTCTGTGTTAATGTTTGTCACTTGGCAGTGTCCTGCAAACTTGGCTACACATTTGTAGATGCAGGGATAAGTCTGGAATTTAGGGAATTCCAAATTTTTGAGGACTCCTAGTTTGTTTTAGAAGAAAAACTAGTGCGTAGTGAGTACTGAAGCGAAATGGGCTCAAAAGGATATAGAGGATTTGTATAGCCAACCCCAACCAGTTTGGTATTAAGGTGTCTATGTTCCTATTTTGTGTTTTCAGAAATCAAGTACAAGAATCGATCTTTTCAAGGAAGTGGAAACTGTCTTGTAACAAAATTTATGTACTTCTTAATAACCTAAGCTTGTCTTAATCTCGTGAGCATGTCACAAATGACTTAGTTAATTCTTCTAAATTAAGAATATCTATCTGAAGATCAGATTTTGTCCTTGTGGAGGCATAATGGAAGATAAATCTTGTTGCTCTGAGGTAATTGATTTATTTTTCTTTGAACCTAAAAACTGCAGCAAATTCAGAACCCAACTGCAGTAATGATTGCTAGGACTGCTGTAGCTCAAGATGATACTAGTGGGGATGGTACTACATCTACTGTGCTTTTCATTGGGGAGCTCATGAAACAATCTGAACGATGCATAGATGAAGGTTTGACACACATATATGTATATACTTTTCCAAGCAATTTTATTGCCTTATATTTTGGTGCATTCTACATCCATGACACTAGAAAAGAAAAGCAAAACAAGAAACTGTGCTACTCTTGTTCATAAAAGTAGCCCTCGAGCTTATGATGGTTTAAGCATTCCTTTGGAAAAATAAATAGAACTATAATTGGAAGAGAAACTCTCAGGAAAGGAAAAACATGCAATGAAAAATTTCGTTCTTTTTTACTTACTATTTCAGTGTTTTTAGTATGCGATCCTTATGAAATCTTATGCATAAGTATCTCCTTTGGGTTAAATTAAATAATCATTACTTGTTCCTTTCTTGCAGGGATGCATCCTCGTGTGCTAGTTGATGGTTTTGAAATTGCAAAAAGAGCAACTCTACAATTTCTTGAAAAATTTAAGACTCCTGTAGTAATGGGTAATGAGCCAGATAAAGAGATATTGAAGATGGTTGCAAGAACGACATTGAGAACAAAGGTTTCTTCTGCAATATTAATATAATAAAGATTTTGATTCTGCTGTTGATATGTTCTTCCTTTCCTACGGGTGCTAATGCGAATTTATTGTTTTGGTGCAGTTGTACGAGTCACTGGCTGATCAGCTGACTGACATTGTTGTGAATTCTGTGAGCACCCACTCTTATTAGTTTTTATTTGGCTAGTTCATTTTTTTCTCTTTCTGACATGGTGTTCTGGGGAAGGAGGGAGTAGGGACCAGCTGATGCTGATCTTTATCGTGTTTGAAAGTTAGATGTATCAGCCGTCTCCTCTGAAAGGAGAGAATTCTTCACTGATCTATTCAGACACAAGTCCTGTCATAGACACCTAAGATTGAATGTTGTGATGACCTTTTTTGTTTTGGTGAAATGATGCATGATGAACTGTATTGGTTGTTTTGCGGCATCATCATTCATTACATACTTTGCAGTTTGTATATGGGGTTTTATGCCCAATCTGGCAATAAATTCATTATTTACAACTTTGTACCACAGGTGCTCTGCATTCGCAAGCCTGATGAAGCTATTGATCTTTTTATGGTTGAGATAATGCACATGCGTCACAAATTCGATGTAGACACTCGTTTGGTATGTGGAATGCTATTCTTGGCCTTTCTACATTTTGGTTAACATTTTTTTAATAAAATGACAATGTTATTGAAGATAGTTGTCAGCTACTGACAATGACCTCATCACTGAGCAGAATAATGAATATCCTATTCTGATCAGTCAACTTCTGGACTGGAGAATACAATTTTACAAATTTCAAAATTATTGGCGATCCTGGAGCAGATACTACTTTTCACATAAAATTTTAAATGCATGAAAACCAGTTCAACGTAACCTCATTATAAGTTTAGGCGATAGTAAAATAAAGAATGCTGTCTACCGAAAATATTTCACTCTGAGGTGTACTTTTGTAGATTTTTTCTCCTTCTAGGGTTTATAGAAGGAAAGTATGATTGGACTTATTTAAAAAATGAAAAAGAGGAAGTAGTTCAGTGCTTAGGGTAGAGAGTGAAAAATTAACCTTACACATCTAGTGATAGTCATACACAGTGAAAGATGCCTATAATTCTGACCATGTTGGAGGTCTTGAAGATACATTAGCATGTGGGTTAAGGAAAGAGATGGTGTAATGCATATTTCATGCAGCCGTGTATCTTTCACCAAGTATGCCAGAATGCCTAGATGTGGATGCACTTGGCCGGCCTCACTTCTGCATGATATTTTGTGCTGTCTGATGAAGAACGAAAAAATTGTTTTTTTTTCCCCTTCATGCAAATTTTAATGTGTCACCTCATTAATTCTAACTGCTGTTAGGTTGAGGGCCTTGTACTTGATCATGGTTCAAGACATCCAGACATGAAAAGGCGAGCAGAGAACTGTTACATTTTGACTGCTAATGTCTCTCTTGAATATGAGAAGAGGTAATAGTGTTAATCCAGATTCACATTGCTTAGATTTGCTTGGTCTTGATAAGTTCTTACCATTGATCAATCTTCTCCTTTCTCAGTGAAGTAAATGCAGGTTTTTTCTACTCAAATGCAGAGCAGAGAGAGGCGATGGTTGCTGCAGAACGGCGTTCTGTTGATGAGAGGGTGCAAAAGATAATTGACCTAAAGAACCAGGTATGCTGTGCAGGTGGTTATATCTCATTACTCTTGTAGTGTAAGAAAATCATTATAATGTTCAATGCTGCTGGTTCTTTGCAGGTCTGCGCTGGAAATGACAAGAATTTTGTTGTTATCAAT